GCAATTATGAAATTCAATTTATACAGTATGTATTTCACCCCAAAAGGACATGTTTATTTTCTGTTCTTCTGTTCTTTTGTCCTAATTTTCCTTTTAAAATTTTTTTCAAAATGTACTTAAACTTAAACTTATCTTAAATTTGTTTGGTTGTAACTTGTAATATGGTTTTGTTCACATGAAAGAATCACACATATATGGGTAGGTATTATTACTAGAATAATTTTTTTAAAAAATAGTAATATATTATTTTGATAGGTTTTTTAATCTATACCTTTGATATTAAAAAACAAAAATTTATTTTTAATTTATTAACTATACAATTAAATTTATTTAGATAGTAACAATATTAAAATTAATATCAATTTTTATATTTTTTATATAAGCTTATAACAAACAATATTCTTAAGTTGTGTATTAAAAGTACTAGTTAGAAACGCTCTATTGTGTATTAAAAGCACTGGCTAAAAACCCTCTCTTATATGTTATGTATTTGAGAAAAGAAATTTATGTAATATAATTTAGATTATACATTAAAAATATAATCTATTTTATAAATTTATTAACATATTTTTAATATAATAACATAAAAAATTATTTTATTAAAAATATTTTAATAAATTTATAAAAAAAATTATATTTTTTTAATATACAATTTATTTTATATAAAAAAAAATTTAAGAGAGAGAATTACCCTCTTTGTCCCCAAAACGACTACAGACTTTGGAAGCGTTGCCGTCTTGCTGTGATGATAATTAGCTTGTCTTTGTCTTAAAATATTTGATTCGGAGTTGTTGGAAGAAATTATTGTCATTGGAAATTGCCACTGTGTTTTTAAGTTTACTAATAATTAAAGTTTAGGTTTTTTTTTTTTTAAGTAATATTAATTTATGCTCTTAGGTAGGGGACAAGAAATTGTGAATCCTTAAACTCGAACTACACATCATCAGGGATGCTTCACTTTACTTATCAAAGAGAAGCGTGGCCATTGGGATCACACGAAATGAATGGCGTTTATTGTTGTTTGGGTTTAGTGTTGTATTGAAATTAATAGCATTAATTAATAGCTAATGGTATATAGTTGTTAATTAATAATTAATAACAAATAATTAATATTTAAAATACAGTAGCTCTTATTGTTCTTAACTATTATTTGGTAATATAATTGTTAGCGATAACTATTAATAAATTAGATTATCAATAAGAGCATAATTACATTTATTATATCTAAAAAGCAATGTGACTTTGTATTAGTATAAACATATGCCACTAAATCAAAATTTCACTAAATTAGAATTTAAAAACGATTAAAAGGTATAGATTATAGAAAGAATCAAAGTATATGTTATTTATGATATTTACTTTTTAATGCTAGCTCATGCCGTGTGCTTTAGGACCTTTTGCCTTTTTTTTTTATTTTTTTTTGCTTTAGGATTGTTTTTGTTTTTGTTTTATTTATTTATTTTGAATTGTAGAGTAAAAAACAAGTTTCTTCCATCTTCTAAAACTATACATCCATATATATGTGTGTGTTTGGTCTAATTAAAGAGCATTCCAGTGAGAAAAAGGGAGAAAAAAAGGGATACAAGGATCTTTGAAAGTTATGGAGGAAGAGCTAAAGAGCTTTGTTAAGGTATGGGTTTTAGCCATTGCATTTCTATGCTACTCTTACTACATTGCAGCAAAGATCCCAAAAGGCTTTCTAAGGCTCCTCTCCCTCCTCCCTGTTATTTCTCTCTTCCTTTTCCTCCCCATGAATCTTTCCTCTTATAGTTATATCCTCGCAACATCCCTCTTCCTTTCTTGGTATGCCAACTTTAAGCTCCTTTTGCTGTCCTTCGATCATGGCCCTCTATCCCCACCCCCGCCACAACTTCTTCATTTCATCTGTATAGCTTCTCTTCCCATTAAGATAAAAAGGTATCCATCCCAAGATAAATCACAAACTTCATTTCTTGGAACAATTATATTGGCCATGAAAGTTGCAATTACAATTATGCTTTTTGAGGCTTACAATTATGGAAAACATTTGAATCCAAATATTGTTCTTGCCCTTTTTCCCATCCACTTTCTCTTTGAAACGGAGTGCTTGTATGCAGTGTTTCAAATCCCTCCAAAATTCCTTTTTGGGTTTGAACTAGAGCCTCAATTCAATGAACCCTTACTTGCCAATTCCTTGCAAGATTTTTGGGGCCGGAGGTGGAATCTTATGAGCTCCGATTTACTCCGTCACCTTATATATAATCCTGTACGTCGTATTTCTAAGCGTATTATTGGAGATAGGTGGAAATCTCTACCAGCAATTTTAGGCACATTCTTCGTATCTGGTTTAATGCACGAAGTGCTTTACTATCACCTAACTCACTTGCCTCCGACGTGGGAGGCGACTTGTTTCTTTGTTATGCATGGCATTTGGGTGGATGTTGAGATAGTTATGAAGAAGAAGAAGGTGATATTGATAGGGAGAAAACGGCAGTTTCTGATCAATGTAATCTCGAGGCTATTGGTGCTGGGATTTCTGCTGGTGACTTCTATATGGATCTTGTTTGCACCATGGTTGAGAAATGGTATTTATGAGAAGGTCTACATAGAATACTCCCCGGCCATAAACTTTGCAAAGGGAGTGCTACATATACATTGATGTTCTATATGTAAAAATAGCTCTGCAATTATTAAGAATTTATTGTTTCAATAAGTAAAAAGTTTTTAATTTAAATTTAAATAAATTAAGAAAAATGATGATGTATCCTCAATTAATTTTGCTTTTAATACTTTCTTTCTTTTTGGTACAACCCTGCTTGTAATATTCAATCTTTTTTTTTTTTCGGGTATAGGCATGCTTGTAATATTATTAAAAATGCAAAAGATTCAAATCCACAAGAAATTTTCATAAGAGAACTAACTCTTGGACACGCTGTAATGGGTGGTAGATCTTCGTTGGAAAGTCTACACTCCAGGCTTTTCAAAAATAAAAAATAAAAAAAATCTACACTTCAAATCTCTGTTGAAACGACTTCACATATTGGGGTTGGCGAGCATCATAATGGGCATCTTGAGCAAACCACGCCAGTTTCAAATATGCAGGCCGGAACAGTGTATTCTGAGCCTTGGGGCCCCTTTAGTGATACCGTTAGAGAAAGATGAGTAGAGAACAGAAGCATTGGAGGGTTAACACAGAAGGATTAGAAAGTTTTAAATTATGATTTCACTTTCTTTAAAAATTCAAAAATCTTTCAAAATATAATAGCATTTAGAAACTCTTTTAGACTTAAATATAAAACATGAATTATATTAAAAGAATTTATACTCACTACAAAAAATAAAATTTGCCTGTTGCATGTCATTTATTGCAATGGTTTTGATTAAAATAATATTTGTGACGCCTTTTATTATGATGATTTTTGTTAAAAAAAGCATCACAATTGAAATTTTTTTGTAATGATAGGACGAATGGACACTAAATGTAGGGATATGTTTCTATAAAAAAAACATTAATAAAGAAAAGGTAAAAATATGACATAAGGACCTGAACTTACACAAAATTTGTAATTTTAGACCTGAACTTCAATTATGCTCAATTAAGATTTCGAACTCCACAAAATTCTCAAATAAATTCCCAATTGAACGAAAAATTAACTTCCGTCAGATGTCCCTACAAAATTAACTCCACAAAATTCTCCTACAAACATCGTTAACACCGCTAATGTTCGTCAGATTCCAACCAACTGTAATGCAACTAGATCAAGCTGTGGGTAAAATTTTAAATGGTTAAATTAAAGTTCATGAAATTACGTAACTACCTTACCCCTCATTCTTCATCTTCCCCGATGTCCCTCTTTCTTCCATGTTTCTCTTTCTTCCTTCTCCGATGTTCTCTTTATCCCTCTCCTTCTCTTTCTTCATTCCTTTCCGGCTAACACAGCAATATCCTTGCCAAAAGACTTTGTGGTTTATGGGTTTTCCTCAGCAAATGGTATCATTATCCATACAGGAGAGATAGTCGTGGATTGCCCAAACAAGGACTGTCACCATCTCTTAATACCCTCAGTACCCATGGTAATGAAACCATCTAACCTTCTTTATATGGATTCAGCTCCAGATTTAAAATCGCTCTCTCTCCTCCCTCATTTTCCATTTTTTGTTAGGATCTGGATTGCCAAACCTAGATTGAACCTAGACTGGGTTTTGAACTTTGTGTGTGGTATGGAGAACCCAGATTAGCTACTGTAGTCTGCATATGGGAATCAATCAAACCCAGATCTGGATTGCAAACCTTGCATGGAATCAATTGAAGCCTTCTAGGACAGATTGCAAGGCTCGATTGTTATAGCTTACTTTAGGTCTCGATTTGCCACGAAATCCAAATATCCATTCGAAGAAGATAAAGATTAGTTTTGGATTATAGGTTAAGGATTTCTGGGATTTGTGAATATTTAAGAATAGGGTTTTTCATTTTTTTGTTCTCATGGAAATTCTTTAATTTGGTGTGTGTGAACTATCAATTTCGATGGTTTAGTGATGCTGAGAACTAGAAATACGAAGAAATTGGTTTTTCTAAGATTGTGATTCTAGTAAAATCTTGATCCTTTCTATCTTTTTCGTTAGCGTCGGTGAAAATTATAAGAGTTTTTTCGACTTTGTATAGCAAGTTGAGGATATAATAAATACATATTTTTTATATTAATTGATAATAAAAAATAAAAATTAATTTTTATTTAATTAATTGTTCAACATGATATTGGTAGAGAAATTAATGCATTTTTTTATATAAATTAATATAATAAAGAAACATTAATTATACCTTTTAACATCTTTTTAACATATGTTTTAATTAGAAATAGGAAATGGTGGGATAATTGTCATATAAAAATAATTACCGTCAAACTTTTTTTAGCTTAATTGACTCTTATATCCTTATACTACACTTTTTTTTTTTTTGGAACTCTACCTTATTCTTGTACAGTGTATTTAATTAAGAGAGAAGGAAAAATTAAAACGTTTTAAAATGTAAAATGTTCGACCACAACTATTAAAAATGTAAAATAAAATGTAGACACTAAATTTATTAAATTTATTATATGATAATTATTAAATATTTTAATAAATTATAATCATTAAATATGTACGATACAATATAAATCTTAATTTTATTAAATTTATTATATAATTATTATTATAAATTTTAATATTTTAATATTACCACAGAACTTCTTGATTTTGGCTTTTCCTTTCAATCAATGACATATTTTTCGTTCCGAAAAGAAAAATGTCATCCTACGAACCACGTTTGGATTCGAACTTGAACAAGATTTCTGGGGTTGGCGAGGGAATCTTCTAGTAACAAATATCTGACGCCACACGGACACGGAGTGCAGACCAGTTAATAAGGTCATGTTTGGTGAAGCTGCTGGGTTGGCCAGGGACGGAGTTAGAAATTGACGAAGGAGGAGGTAAGGGCAGTGGGGTGGAACTGTCTTTTTGAGTTTGTGTATGCCAAAAAAGTAAATTTCGTAAAAATCATGACTTGTGAATAAAATTGACATTCACATCTTTGGAAACTAAATATGCCATAGATATAGAGAAACTTCTTGAAATTCTTGTTATTGTATGATATATAAATTTTTATTTCAAACAAAATTAGTGGTACAAAATATTAATTAACACTTTCAAATAATAAAATGAAAATGTTTTAAGAAATTGACATGCTAAAATCTTTATTAATTTTACAGGGCAATCTATAGTTGGGGCCTTGGGGGAACAACAAGAAAATGTGTGAATAAAAATGTCAACTTTGTATTTTTTTATTTAAAGATATTAGTTTTGTTTGTTTCTGTTGTCTCCAATATTTCTCTTCTCGGCCATGTGGGAAATAGAATTGTGAAGGTGTGTCACTCATTTTGCTCAAAATGAGAAAGAGGGATTCCCAGCAACCTTTATTACTTCCAAACATAGAACTCAACTGCGAGTTGATGGAAGAGCACTAATTAAATAAATTATGAGATGTGCCTTGGTCAAATGATTATCACAGAAACAGAGGTGCAATCTTGCGTAAAAGTTCATAAATAATTACCTTAAAGAAATGTGAGGGACTTCCCACAACTAGGGCCAAAATGTTTGTTTGTTTATCAAAGTAAAAGAGAAAAATAAAGGAAAAGAGAAGAAAGTGAGTGCATAGTAGGATAACTAAATTACAGAAAGGAAGCATGATGCCGTCGCAAAAGCATGTAAACATAAATAATGAAATAAAAGTTGAAATATATATAAAACTAAACTTAAAGGAAGTTTGGGAGATGAATTTAGAGTAAACTGTAGTAAATTGAATTGCAAGAAATCAAATACATCAGTAGAGATGTTTAAAATAAAATAACAAAAACTAGAGTTAAATCTAATGGTAGCGTAGAACTAAAAAGTAAATTAAGAAAGTTGTTTAAAAAAACTAAATCTAAACTAAGACATTACTTGTAAAATTGAAATGTAGATAGTGCTGGGCTAGTTGTGTGAGATGCTAGTCTTGCTTGGTTGATCTTATTGTCATGTGTTTATAGCATCTTAATAGCATGGTGGAGTTGTGCTGGCAGTATCTTGAAAACCAACGGTTGTATGAAATATGCAACAAACTGAAAAATTTGTTGGTGTTGTCAATTATGCTCATAGAAGTTAGCAACCACTGAATTGGTTTGTCAATAATGTGGCAACAAACATTCACGTTAATTCTAGAGAAAAATCAGTCATTGAGTTTGACTCGGTTAATCAGATCACCACATGGCAATTATTGATGGCAAATTTTGACTCTTTCAAATTCAAAACAAATGGAACACGTAACTCCTTCATATTAATTTACAAAAATGGATGTAAACAGTTTTTAAATAAAAATGTCAATTTTTAATTTTTTAATTTAAAAATATCAATTTTTAATCTTTTATATTCAAAAATATTAATTTTTAACTTTTTCTATTTAAGGATTAATTAGATGGTGATGTTGGGAGAGCTGTTTAAAAAAGTTAGATCTAAAATAAGACATTACTTGTAAAATTAAAATATAGATAGTATTGGGCTAGTTGTGTGAAACGCTAGTCTTACTTGCTTGATCTTATTGTCATGTGTTTATAGCATCTTAATAGCATGGTGGAGTTGTGTTGGTAGTATCTTGAAAACCAACGACTGTATGACATATGCAATAAACTAACCAATTTGTTGGTGTTGTCGATCATGCTTCTAGAAGCACGTAACTACTGAATTGCTCTGTCGATGATGTGACAACAAACATTCACGTTAATTCTAGAGAAAAATCAATCATTGAGTTTGACTCGGTTAATGAAATCACCATATGACAAATGTTGAAAGCAAATTTTTTTACTCTTTCAAATTCAAAACAAATGGAACACGTAACTCTAATTAATTTACAAAAATGGGTGTAAATAGTTTCTAAATAAGAATGTTAATTTTTAATTTTTTATTTAAAAATATCAATTTTTAATCTTTTATATTCAAAAATGTTAATTTTTAACTTTTTCTATGTAATATCCCAAAATTTTGAGGTATTTTAGCATTAAATTGGGGA